ATTTAAAAGGAAACTAAATCAAAACCAACCCAAAAGATTAGAAATAGGAAGAGGAAAAGCAGAATCTTTAAAAAAAAACGGAAGAGAAATCAGAAATCAAAACCCAATCCCCAAAGAAAAGGAAAACCAATGTCTTATAAATAGAGATGCAGTCCACTAGAAAAAACGCAAGAACTGAGAAGAATCTTTATTCAAGTTTTACTGGTACGTTGCTTCTTCTCTTCTTTTTATGCTTCTTTCTTCTTCTTCCTCCTTCTCTGTCTTTTCCTTTTCTTTTGGCAAATCAAAAAATCTTAGCTAAATTCAGAGAATCAGAAACTTTGTTTGAAAGATTTGTGCTCTATGTTTCTGTCTCAGACTCTCTGTTTAAGAGATGAAGTACACTTTATCTGAATTCTAAAGCATGTAATATTTATTATTCTTTAAATAGATCACTTTTGTTTTAATAGTATTGGCAAAGGTTTTGTAATGATTACATGCCCACTTGTGCTTTTATCATAATTGAATAATGTAGTGTATATGTCATCTTCTCTTTAAATATTCAACTTAATGACTTAGTGGGAGACAACACATTGGGTATATAAAAAGTTATCAGAGTAATAAGTACTTGACTACTTGCATGGCTATCTACTTTACTGCTTAGTATCATGATTTACATTAAAGTTTCTTTTCTCTTTGCTTTAGAGATATACGAATGGTACATTAAAGAACATTTTAAGGAAACATACATATTTAAAAAAAAAGTACAAAGTACAAATTATAAATTGCAATTTACAGAATAGATTGAAACAACTGTTTACTATAGAAAATATAATTACAATTTACAGAATAGATTGAAACAATTGTTTACTATAGAAAATATAATTAGCATATTTCCAAAGTCGATTATGCTATAACAATTAACTTAACTTTATATCTTTGATTTATATTAGAAACAAAATGGCAGAGGATTTATCTCGTGGTAATCGAAAGGATCCCGGTTGGAAATATAATCACTTGATCGATCCTAATGATACCACGAGAGTTACTTGTAATTTTTGCGGGAAAACAACTACAGGTGGAATAAATCGGGCAAAACACATCTAGTTGGGAATTTCAGAAATACAACAAAGTGTACCAAATGTCCTCATGAAGTTCGAGAAGAATTGAAAGCTTACATGGAGGAAAAGAAAGTAAGGAAAGATATTTATGCTAGAGAGTATCTTGAACATGATGAGTTTGATCATCAAGATGTTGGTGAAGAGGATGAAATTCAGGAAATCATTCCTAAAAGAAAAGGTGGTGGGGGAAGCCTTCCTGGTGGCCTTAATAAGAAATTAGCTAAGGGTAAAGGAAAAGGCCCTATGGATGTATATTTGCAAAGTCAAGGGCAACTTAGGCAGACGGGTATCAAAGATTCATATGACAAAGAAGCAAGAGCAATGGCTATTCAAAAAGTTGCTCGTTTCTTTTACGATGCTGGCATACCATTCAATGTTGCTCGTCTGAAAAGCTTTAAGGAGGCAATTGATGCTATTGGAAGGTATGGACCAAATTTGAAGCCTCCCAGTTATCATGAATTAAGGATTCCATTACTAAATAAGGAGGTAGAGTTGACTAATGAACTTTTAAATCGACATAGAGAAGAATGGGTAAAGAATGGATGTTCCATTATGGCAGATGAATGGACTGATAGGAAGCAAAGAACATTAATAAACTTTTTGGTGAATTCTCCATGTGGTACAGTGTTTATGGAGTCCATTGATGCATCTTCATTTGTCAAAACTGGAGAGAAACTATGTGAGCTACTTGATAGATATGTGGAGCGTGTTGGAGAGCAAAACGTAGTTCAAGTTGTAAGTGATAATGGCAGCAACTTTATATTGGCCGGTAAGTATTTACTTTAAGAATGCTCAAGTTTTGATCTCTCATATATTATAGTATATAATATATTTAAGTATTTTCTTTTTATTTTAGGCCAACTCCTACAAACAAAGAGAAAACACATATACTGGACGCCTTGTGCCGCTCATTGTATGGATCTTATTTTAGAAGACATAGGCAAGCTTCCAACTATTACGAGAACCCTCAAAAGAGCAATTGCAGTTGTTGGTTTCATCTATGGTCATACAGGAGTCATTAATATGATGAGAGATTCACAAAGAAAAAAGAATTGGTGAAATGTGGAATTACTCGATTTGCTACGAGTTTTCTAACTTTGCAGAGGTTGTATAATCAAAAGACTAATTTGCGAACCATGATTACATCTGAGCATTGGGTGAATAGTAAATGGTCAAAAAAACCACAGGGAAAAGTTACAACTCATACTATATTGATGCCTGCATTTTGGAATCAAGTTGTTTATATACTGAAGATAATGGGACCTCTTTTTAAAGTCTTAAGATTAGTTGACAATGAGAAAAAGCCGGCTATGGGATATATTTATGAAGCTATGGATAGAGCTAAAGAAGCCATCGCAAAATCATTTGAAGGGAAGTCTGCGAAGTACAAAGATGTTTTTGAGATCATTGATCAAAGATGGGAATGCCAATTGCATCAACCATTACATGCCGCTGGACATTATTTGAATCCCGAGTATTTCTATCAAGATCCAGCCATTGAGAATTGTAGAGAAGTAACGAATGGACTATATGCTTGTATTCAGAAACTGGTTCCAAGTATTGAAGTTCAAGATAAGATTGTATCTGAGTTACCATTATATACAAGAGCTGAGGGACAATTTGGACTTCCCATGGCAAAAAGATCAAGAGCAACGAGATCTCCAGGTATATGAAAATTCAATGTTTACAATTAACACTTCAAGGCTTCACGTTCAATATTTACTTACCACTAAGTTATATCTTTTTCAGCTGAATGGTGGAATCTATATGGAAATTCAGCCCCTCATCTCCAAAAATTAGCCATTAGAATCTTGAGCTTAACCGCTAGCTCAGCTGGTTGCGAGCGTAATTGGAGTGTGTTTGAACATGTGAGTTTTTATTAGACATTAGTTACATATAACTATTCGCTATTTTAATTTATTTGGTTAATTAATACAAACTTACAATTTTACTAACAATCAGATAAAATAATTCATGTGCAGATCCATAGCAAGAAGAGGAATAGATTAGAGCATAAACGATTGAATGATCTAGTGTATGTCAAGTATAATCGTGCTCTAAGAACTCGCTTTGACTTGCGGAATATCATTGATCCAATCTCATTGGATCATATTGATCATAGTAATGAGTGGTTGGTTGGAGAAATGGGGTAAATTTTGAAGCGGAAAATGAATTGGTGTTTGGGGGAGATGATGACTTAACTTGGGGCGATGTGGCTAGAGCATCAGGAAGTGAAGATGCACAAACATACTCATACTCAATGAGACAAAGGAGACCATCAAAAACTTTGGCAACCGGTTCTTCAAGCTCTCAAGTTCGACGTATTAATATAGATATAGATGATGTTGAGTCTGAGGAATCAAAGGAAGAAGATATTGAAGGCTATAATTCTAGCGATACCAATGAGAGTAATCCTATTGAAGAAGAAGATGACAATTTAG